TTATTTATTTAACATTGTACTTTATAAATTAATCTTTTCAAAATAAGACTTCTAATACTTTTAAACATTGACTTGACTTTTATTTAAAATATAATTTAAATATCGGGTATGAGCTTATAGTTATTAATAAAATCAATGCGTACAATAAAAAGTTATAATATATAAGATTGCTAAATAAATTTTAGGGCTTTTATTTGATAAATAAATATATTAATTCATAAATATAGAAATATTACATAAAAGCTTATATTAGTTTACTCTTTATTAAACATGACATTTTCAACAATGTCTTTGCAAGTAAATATAATAACGAACGATTTTTTAAATACTTATTTATTATTTGCATTAATGTATTTACTGCAACTTCTTAATATCACTATCTTTTTTTTATAAACAAACAAAAGCAAGGAGGATAATATAAATTTCCTATTTCATTTTTACTTAGCGTGACCATGCACATTTTTTACTCCTTTTTCAAGCAATTTTTAATTTCTTTATTTAATAAAATTTTAATATGTTCTAAATTTATTCAAAAATCTATGTTATTACTTTTGCCTTATTTTATTACGAATAATTGTATCACTTAGTATAAAAGTTAAATAAATACATTATCTAGTATAAGTTTGAGAACAGGGGAAAAAGAGAAGTTTGTGCACTCCTAACAATTTTACCTTATATTTCTTGCAGAAACATATTGCGCTGCCAGAAATACTGCAAAGGGCTTTGAAAAGTTTTCATCTGCCTATGAAAGTGAATCAGGTTGTCAGATGGGCAGGGGAAAGAGAAAAAGGCGATTGTTTAACCCTTTTCATCTGATGATTCATCTGATTCTGAAAATAAAAAATGCAAGCTGGATAAATTGAAGTCAAAAATACCAGCTGCTCCTCTTCCACCATCTCCTCTCGCTGGTATATCTTCTCTGACGAAGCTTTTAAATACTACTTCAAAGGAGAATATTGCTGACGTGACAATTGCTCCTAATATGAAACAGGACAAGAGAGTTACTGCTTCTCCAGTACTAACTGCAATCTCAACTAAACGGAACAAGTTTCTGCAACAAGTTATTAATCATAGGCAGCAGGCAGCGGAAAAGGCATTACAACGAAAAAAAGCAATGGCTTTAGAAAATATACATAAGCTGTCTGTGAAAAAGAAAGTAATCGATAGCAGATCGTGCTGTAAAGTACCAGTGACAGCTTCGGAGTCAGGTGAAAATTGTAAATCTACATCACAATTTTCGTCAATTTCATCACCCTCAAACTCGCAATCTGTTGAACAATCATTATCAGATACTAGTGAAAATTCAGATGAAGATAGAAGGAACTCTGAGCCCCATGAAGTATCAGGAGCTTTATTAAAGACTGTCTCGGCATCAAAATCGACTACTGATATCGGTAAGTTTAGCCATAAGAATTGAATTCATATTTCCGTAAATTTTCGAATGATCACAAAAAAGATGCGCTACCACGGTAGTAATGATCAAATTATTATTTATAGATCTCTATGAATTTGTGAAAAAATTGGACAAAAAAGTAGACAATATGAGAGCGAAACTTGATGTGATGCTTATTAATCAATCTAAAATGAACAGAATTTTAATGCCAGGAGAAAAAGTTCTCTCTAAACCTTCAAACATGCCTGCACTTCCTTTAAATACCATAGAGCAAATTAAAATGTTTGAGAAATTTCTTTCAAATGACGTTAACTTGTCAGATACTGTGAGTAAGGTTTAATATGCTTTTACGATAATATTCATAATAATAAAGCTAATTCCATTTTCATAATTTAAATAGCATATATTTTATTAAAATTATTAAGTTCTTAAGATTTTGCTTCCTATATAAGTTGTATTATTTCTGTCATTTTAAGGTTGGATCCTCATGCAGACACCGGCGCTTTGACACTGAGCGCTGATTGGTTAAAAATAGGTAATTGGAGGTAAATAATAAGCTATTTACTCCCACCATCCGTTTTTCATCAATCAGCGCTGGTATCAAAGCGCCGGTGTCTGCATGAGGATCCAGCTCAAGTTAATAATTAACAGTTAGTGGAGTGTTGCAAGTCTTATTTGTTATTGCACACTTAATATTTCCTCACTTAATGTTGTAATAAAAGAGAATGACTTGTTTTTGTAATTTTTGTTTCAAAATCCTCTTTATATTTTAGTGTTACTATTTAAAGTCTCTTCCTTTGGGAAATGATGAGACTCGAGCGGTATCTAAACTTATGTCGCATCTCATTAGTAACTCTCTTGCCGAAAAGTTTAACTTTGATGGTCATGGAGAAAAATTCGCTTTTAAGTCCACTAAATTATGGGAATTGGTGCAAGGTTAGTAATTGAGTAAATAAGTGAAACAAAGGGAAAGAGAAAAAAAAATCATATTTAATTGAAAATTTTTTCTACTACTTATATTCTAGCTTTAAGAATCTTTTAATTAATTGAGTTAATTTTTTTATTAGTTTATCTTATCTAATTCATATCCTTTTTATTTGAAACGTTGATATTTTTTATCCATGCATCTAAAAATTTTTCAGGTACATTGCTCATGAAATTTGAAGAAAGTGATCTCAGTCAGGCAATAACGTCCCTCAGGTCATGGTTGCGAAAGCCAAAGGAAGAAAACATTAAGGCACAACATTAATTATGTTAGAACTTTCTTATCGATTACAGCTTTGGATTAAAATCATTAAATTATTATCTGCGCATAATTGGAAAATATTTTTATTTTATTTGATTTTTGTTGAAAGAACAAAGTTGTTTCTTTAATTTAACAAATTTTAATAATTGATTTTAATTTTTTATTATTCAAACGAAACTTAGAAATGCTTACCATAAGTGTTAAATGTCTTCATAATATCAATACGTTCACTAGCACTAGGTTTAATAAATACGTAACAAAAATTTATTAAATAATAACAATAATAAGCTGTGATAATATTGTGTAATATAAGATGTTCGTATTAATGGCCATGTAATAATATAAAATTGATTTTTGTTTCCATTTTTGTGAAAATGTTATATGCTCTAATGATAAAATATTAAAAAATAATTATTATTAAGACATGGAATTATTAAAACTCGTAATTGATAGTTTACAACTGGATGTTCTTGTAAGAATAATTCAAAACTTAGTGAGTGGTCGTTATATTGAATACACCCAAGGTCTTAAAAAATAATGTAACGATAAAGACGGTATTTTTTTTTTAAATAATACAATTACTTAAATACATGTCTATTAGACGTCTATAAGATGTCTAATAGACGTGTGTACTAGGCGGGAAAAAAGGACGTGATGTATTTTATGTATTTTTCATACATATTATGAAAAATACATAAAATACATCACGTCCTTTTTCCCGCCTAGTACACACGTCTATTAGACATGTTATAGACGTCTAATAGACATGTCTAATAGACATGTATATTAGACGTCTCAAAGATGACATTTCGACGTCTATCTAGATGCGTCTATAGACATACTTTAGACGGTCGAATAGACGTCTAATAGACGTCTATCCGATCTCGCGTTTCTCCCTGGGTTCGCATACCATTTTATGAAAGGACCAGGATACATGGCACTATTGGCCGGAGAGATGATACACAAGATAAAATGTATGCCGGTCGAAGTAAAATTAGCACGGACTGATGAATGTTATGAACAACTTCCTGTATTACGGGGAAACGATACATATTTTTTGACCCCTCAAACTCATATACTAATACGCCATGGAACACAGATTACCTATAATTCTTTTGCACCTACCATGTATCTTTTGGAAGACTCATGGTATAAAATTATGCCAAAACCAGTCGAAACAGTATCGCCCACTATCATGCAACCCTCAACTAAACCATTGTGGAAATACGTCAGCCCTGGCGACCAGTGGAATATATTCACAATCCGACTTGGAAGAACCCAAAGACCATATAATGTTCCCCGCAGAGCGACCTGCAATTCTTAACACAGTAGCGAGAGGCATATTAAGGCAAACAACGGTACTTAATGGAGGATCACTTTCAAATCTCCTCAACGAAGCATCGATAGAAAAGATCGCGATGTTCGCATGGACAAAATTTTGAAACAGATTTACAATATTCGGCAATATTAGTGCTGGATTGATAGGAATATATCTGATCGGCAGACTCATCAAGTTATTTCTTGACACATTCGTGCACGGATACGCCTTTCACACAGTATACGGATGGTCCGTGTACTTAATAGGAGCCATATGGGATTCGCTTACCCAGCTCCTATTACACTTAGGAAAAGACAGGCCCAAATACGGAAAGCCCAGCGCTCCCGATGCACCCGAGAACGATGACCCCGAAAATGCAGATACATTGATCCTCACAGAAATGAAGGCAGAACGAACCTACCCTCCTCTCCCCACCGTGGAAACTACGGCTTACTCTTTGGAACTGAGGAGCTAAACCACTTGTTTTATTTCCCTATATTAATACATAATCACATGCTACGATATGTCAGCTCGCATGCTACGCCATGCAGAAATAATCATTACATATACATACAAGTACATATATACGCATATAACAAAAAAAATAATAATAATCTAATGATAAAAAAAATACAATAGAAAAAATTTAACTATAAAAACAAATAAAATTTTTTTAAAAGGAAAAGAAAAACCCATGTCCATACTTAATTTGTAGCAAGATGGACATCAAAAGTATCAACATCCGAGATCTGAGTCGAAGTTCCTTGCACATCAGAGTTATCAAAGTAGACTCACCATCACTCATTTGGGTGCACCACGCCCGAGAAGATCTCGAGAAACTCATCGACGACCTCACGAGCCGAATGGCACGAAGGAGGCGGGGGTTGATTCTCAACCCCGACCATGCGTTACCGGATGAATACGTTGCCATGCAAGAAGGAAGAACTTGGCAACGGGAGGTGATAATCAACCTTGAAGGGAAAGACACTGTCACGGTGGCCCTACGAGACTAGGGCCGTGTCATCCGACGTCCGGTCACCGATATGTATATATTGGAGGACTACTTCCGAGAATTGAATTGGCAAGCCATCTCTTGCGGGCTAGCCCACCTCCGCCCGGTGGGGGCCAGATCAAGATGGTCCCGAAATAGTAAAGCTCTCACCAGACTCTTATTAAGGAAAAGAGGAGGATGGATGTGGATCCTCGAATCCATAGAGGACTATGCCGCAATCATCACGCTTGAATTAAAGTGGGAGAGCGAGGACGAAACAAGCAGTTTGAAAGATCTGCTCATCTCGATGGAATGTGCCCTACACACTGACGCGAAGATGGTGCCAACAATACCAAGCGTTCTATAAGGATCATTAAAAGGAACTCACTTAAAAATCGTAATGTCAACCTAACTATTTACACATACTCCCGTAACTTTACACGCACTCGAGTTATGCACCTTACACATATATCATTATATCATATTATATGTTTGTGTTTATCAATTTAATCTTTGTGACTATCGTGCGCATAGCATTAATTTACTTTAAGGTATAATATTTTACACACAATGTATACTCATCCTTAGCGATTTACTAATTATATCTAACCTAACTGTATACATCTCAATAATTTCGTTACTCTCTCAACTATACCTTACATCCATTTCGTTATCTTAAGTAATTAATAATTTTATTAATTTACCTTAACATTATATTCCTAGTATGACGGATATGTGGGGTCACAAAAAATTTAAATAAAAAAAAAATTATTTAAACAAAAAAAATATATTTTAAGGGAAGAAAAAATATATATGTATACGTTTACAATTAACTACTAACAGTAGTAATTTAATTTGTTTAAAAAGGGTCTAGCAAAAAAACCACTTAAAAAGGCCGATTGCCACCTGAGGAATGCAAAAAAGGGGAGAAAAAATATATAGTATATCCTCCATCGCACTCTGATATTACTGCTAATACCTTTGCAACGCTGCAGTAAAAGGACAAGTAGGTACATTTACGTGCCGACACATATATAATGAACCGTAAGGTCATTATCCTTAGTTAACGAAGCCTACAGAGGCTTCGCATACGGTCTAACAGACTGCACTATCCACGTCAAGTGTTTAGCCTGCAGTTAAGTATCGAGGGTAAATCGGAGTTGCGACCTGCCTACAAGGCACACTCACGACGGGTATAAGAGGGTCACCCCATGGGAGCCCAACGCAAAGAAAACCCCGCGTGGCACTTAAGAAATTTACACTACTCCCGCGTATTCCTCATCTGGCAACTTCAAGCGGTGAAAAAAAAAGGGGGAAAATCTCAGTTATTCCTCCATGTTATGCATAATTTGCACAAAAGAAAAATATATACATATTTTTTAAATTAAATAAAAAGGAAGATGCGTACCATATATTTGTATATATATATAGACATATATACATCTCATCTATCCGTCAAGCAAATTAAATTTCCTTTGTTTTCAGATTATTAATAATATTCGTATTGTCATTTATGCTAAACTATTATTATTGTAAAAAAGAAGTACAAAAGAAACAAGAAAGGGGTTTTGGAGGTCGCCTTATCTTTCTTTCCTACTTCTTTCCCTTATTTACGAACTTAAAGAGGATGCTTGTTGAAAAGAGGGATGCTAGAACGTGTCACGTTGCAACCACATTAGCGTAGGCACGAACGGGCATCCTCCAAGTTCAAGAAATATATATATATATCATTACTTCACATCCCCCTTGTACCGTATAGACTAAGCTAATATAGTGTTACTCTAAAATGCAATTATCAATACTAACAAGAAAGACGAGAGAAAAGTAAAAACAAATTTATAAGCACACCTTCTCTCCTCCTTCTTCAATTAAGCAGGTATACACATTTAAGAACGGAAAAGAGAAATGATACGAACAATCTTAAATACATATTCTTTACGCGCGAGCTCCAAAATTATCGAAAGAAAAGAGTCCACATTTCTGGCCCGCAAATGTTGCGTCAGCATGCCCTAACATTTGTTTAAGGCTGGGGGTGCTACGTCCAGTGGACTCTCACGACTCGTTTCTTTCGTGGAGATCTGGATTTCGTTGAAATAAAAAGACAGCTGCGAATAACAAACTGACTGAACGTTATAGCTTAGAGAAGACTAAAATTCTCTTTTCCCAAAAAACTAAACGAAGAATCCAGTATCTTCTCATAAATGTTGCTCTGAAATGAATTAAAATCAGTGCACGTACGCGTGCGGCAGGACCAAAAGGACACCGAGTCTGTGCCCTCTCGAACACTGCGACTAAAAAGATAATAAACATAACATTGGAAGCGTGAGACCGGCGCCAAGATATTTTTTTTTCTCTCTACGGTCAAGCGGCGGACAATTCTTGCGACACGTGACGTTCAGGGGTGGGTCCGGGGTGGTCTCGTAGCGACGTTGCACGTGCGCTTTCTTGACGCGTGCGTTTTCCCATAAATATTAAGATCATAAAAATTAAGGATAACACTTCCTCACACTATAGACTCCGGTTAACGTCCTTTCCTGCCTCGAAAAATCTTGACCAATCCAAGAACCAAGAATTAGTTAACGAAACCTATTCCACCAATCCGAATTCAAGTAATCAGGGGGCGATTAGTATAAAACCGCGGTCTCGCGACCCTTCAGCGTCTTTTTAGTTTTCCCGAAGAGTGAAAACACATATAAGACTTCTTTCATTTTTTAAAGTTAGACGGGCACTAAGTCTTTTTATTTTTTTCGGAGTGATGAAACACGTACCAATTAAATACTTTTTGGGGTTAACTCACAGAGTCAACCTAAACATAATCTGTCCAAACTAAAATCTCGACAGCAATCAATTTTAGTCTTTGGCTCGGTTCGCGACTCTGCAGTCAAACATAAACACTCTTAGAGTCAGTGACTCAACCGAATCTCGGCAAGCAGCCCGAACGATACCGCATCAGACGACTCCAGCTTCGCGAAATCACCTCAAGTAGTAAGTGAACGTCACCCTACTTTCCTTTTTTTTGTGTTTCTCTTTTTCTTTATTTCCCCCTTTTTTTTCTCTTGGGTGGTCCCCCTTAAACTTAATATCATTACAGTGCGTTCATGCAGATCTTGCACCCCTCGTCGCCGTCACGTTGCGGGATCTAACAACCCGCGCCGGTCTTACGTCCGTGTCCGCTCTACTACCGCGGAAAATCTCAAAGAGTCGTCTCCATCGTTCACCCGCTAACACCTGAACAGAGTCCAGTCCCTCAACCCCTTCTCCCACCTCTGTCACCTCCACCTGAAATCTCGTATTCTCCCGTCTCCGATCTGTCCCCAGATTTCTTTGACGACCTTTTCCCGTCCAGTCCTCTCCCGATATCACCACACTTGATCGAAGAGCCTCCTGTCTCAGAGATCCCCCCTCAGTTCCTCTCTCGCCAATCGACTCCTACTTCCCTCCAAACCCTTTTTCTCTCCTCTTCCATAACGCCATTCAATTAATAGACAACATGTCGTAACTTCATCCCGTCAGCAAACGACCGGGTTTTAGTGAACATCCCCGGATGTACCTGTCTCTTCTCCATCCCAGTACCGTCTCTCATTCTTATCGATCCTGTTTCCTTCCAACCCTGCATGCGAGTCGACACAATTCTAAATTTCCTTTCCTCTTTTCATACTCTCCCAAGTGAAAATAACCCCAGCATCACTCGCAACTCTCTTTTCACACACACATACACACATACACATATATCCACGACAATATTAATATGTACCTAAAAACACACATCAATGTAAATATACAGGGCACGGCGCCCGGGCTGCGAGGAGCGGGGATGGCCTAGTAGGCGCGCCGCGCCGTTCGAGCTTAGAGACTCGCGGCGGTGAGCGGAGCGCCGTGCGCTCGGTGGGCTGTGCCTTCGGCAATAGTAGGTCGGGGGGACGCGCGTATTTGGCTATCTTTTAAACGTTAATATCTCGTTAACTATTGCTGACACTTCAAAATGGTACAGGACTTTTTGATTCAGTATAGGCTGTTCTACCCACGTATGACAAAAAATGCGGTAGTCGCCAAACACCCTGTATATATACGAACCTGAGGAAGGTTCCAATTGTAACACAACACAAATGTATTAATAACGCTGTTAATTATATTGCATATTAACTAAATCCTCGTTTATTAATCAACGAAACCTCTCCTTCTATTCATTGTTAGCTCCCTCGCGGTTGCACTTCGCCCTCTCCCCGATCACTTGGATTAAGTTCCATGACCGAAAGCCAGGGCATACGAACGCACTGGCACATCTGGCGTTAAAGTTCGCCCTCGTGGCACACTGACCCAGTTGGGCCCTTTTAAACTTAAAAGTGTGTCGACTCGTGTGTCCGTTTAGCGGAGCATGAGTTTAGGTTTCCACTTCGTCCTCCGTTTGACCCCCGGCTCGTTAAGAGTCTCAGGACGAAGCGAAGTGCCTCCTGGTTTGTGTCGGTCCTTCCCGATAGCTCCCTCGCGATCCGGAGCCTGGACACGACCAAATTGATCAAAACTTCAGTTCCTGTTCCGTCCACCCCTTCAGTTCCATATGTGAGGAACTAGGACGTAACATAACCTTTAAATTCATATTTATCGTTATACACAAATCGTGATTCGATGAAAGTTACCCAAATTGTATATCTATATTGATGTCCTACGGAGCCACGAATTGCTTACAAACGATTTGCCGACCGATTGTTCAGAATTTCATGATATTCTAATGAGAAAAACCATATTAGTTATAGTTAACCAATAAATGCAAAATCATAAATTAATAAATAGAATTAAAACTGAATAAATTAGGAATCTGTTAAATCATTAATATACTTCTGAATTCTGTAAAATCAAGCAGAAATATCATTCCAATAAAAACACTCACCAACATGATTGCATTTATCCTTTTTTAAGATATACATCGTCAAATTCATCTTAAAATCGTGTAAAATATAAGAGGTACTGTACCAGTCAGATAGTAATACTAACAAAATCACAGTCACTATGTTAAAAATTTGATAATCAGTGTAGATCGAAACATCTAGAAAGAATTTTTTGAAATATGTGTTAACAATAAAGCTGACTGTCACTATCTAAGTGATAATTAATGGATTGACAAAACGGCTAGATGAGAACAATGTCAAATTTTGTTTATAATCGATGTATATGCTTTGTGAAGGCCCTCCGTATATGTTTGGAGATTGAGACTGTTTCTTTGCTTTTTAATATTTAACATTTCCGAAATTAAGCGTTTGTTATAACATGGCTCTTCATCTAATATCTGGATGTTATTCCAATCAAAATCATGTATCGTCTGCAGTCTATATTCGGTGATCACAGAACGGATAGTTGTATTCCAACGAATATGATTCCGGTGTTCAGTAATTCTGGTTTTCAGTTGTCTACCTGTTTGTCCGACATATGATACATCACAATCTTTACACATGATCTTGTAAACCACATTGTTCTTTGATAAATTTGAACGAGAATCCTTTTGTACCTTAATGAACTTACTTAATTTATTGGAGCTATAATAGGAAACTTTAATGTCATCCCTGTTAAATTTTTTGAATCTCTATTATCAATGGAACAAAGGGAATCGTAAACCAAGACATACACCCCGTCGTCTCATCACTATTTGTGCATTCACAAACTACTGTTCCTCCACGCTGAATATTTCTAACTCATTGATTGTTTCAAAAATTAATTTGAGGGGATAATCGTTCTCCATTAGTATATTCACAATCAATTTAAGATTCTTATGATAAAATTCAGAATCAGGTAATAATAAAGTCCTGTCCATCAATCCAAAAATTATACCTTTCTTTTGTGAAGTAGGATTGTTCAAATAATAATTCAAAAACCTCCCCGAAAAAGTCGGGTTTGATATCAATCGAAGGTTAAACATGCTTCTTTAACCATGATCGTAACATCAAGAAAATTCAGTGAGTCAGAGCCTATCTCTAATGTGAATTGTAGACGTGAGTGAAACGAATTAAAACTTTTGAAAAATAAATCAATTTCAGATGAAGGAACAGCAGCAACCAGATCGTCAATATACAACATAATGATAATAAAAAAGATACTGATTATTGTAAGATAACAAAGACATTCTTTTCAATTTTTGCATTACCAAGTCTGCAATGATGAGCGACAACGGAAAACCCACGGGCGTGTCGAAATTCTGTTTATAGATGGTATTATTAAAAGTGAAGTAAGTTGAATCTAGAATAAACCGAACCGTCATCAAGAATTCTGTCTTGGGTAAGTTACATTTTTTTTTAGATGAAATTGTAATTGTCATTTACGCAATCGATAGCCATGTCTAATGGAATGTTAATAAAGAGAGAATCCATGTCCAATGAGATTAATTTGTAATCTTTGCCAATTACCATCCCTTTTAGATCTTTAACAAGTTGGAAACTATTCTTTATGTAACTATCAGCCTTCGGAATACTTTCAAACAAGATGTTGTGTAGAAATGTGGCTAAGAAATATAACGGACTGTTAATTAAAGATACTATAATCCTAAATAGACAATTCGGTTTGTGAATCTCCGGCATCGCATAAGCCCTCGGAAGCAAACCATCACTGCAATATATACGTCTATATTGAGCTTCATCAATATATTTGCAAGTTCTCCATCTTGTAAGCATAACTCTCAGAGAGGTTGTCATTTTTTTTGCAAAGAATCTCTTTTTATTATTTCATATGTATCTGTGTCATTAAGCATTTCAGTAACTTTATTGATGTAGAAATCTTTCTCAAGAGCCACAGTTACATTTCCCTTATCAACATGTGTGAATATTACATCCGGATTTAATTTTAAGAAATCTTTTGTAACAGTCTCCAATTCTAATAATTTTTTGTCAATAAGTGTTGCGAAAAGGGGAGAGAAAACTAGGTTATTAAGTATGGATATGGAATGGTTTGTGATATCAATTCTCTTATCAATTGACATTCTTCGCGTGCTATACTCTATGCTTTTAATGCATTCAAAAATAATGTTCTTTTTGTTCATATTTGATAACGCAAAGTTTTCACCAAGTTGTAAAAAGCTCTGGACATCATTCGGAATAGGTGTAGAAGAGAGATTCACAAACAATTTGTTCCTGACCGAAGAAAGAGAGGATGAAATTTTACTATTTAAGAAGGAATTAGGTTTATGGATGAAGGAGCTAGATTTGTTGTTGCAATTGGATGAGACGGAAGTGTAAAAGAGGAACAGTTCTGAGGATTACAACCCACCAAAGAAACTGATAAGTTGTTATCCGTATTGTGCTGCTCTCTTTCACAATCACTTTGTGTAAGATAAACCGTTGTTATCTCTTTAGAATTAGAATCATTTATAATATATTTTATAGGTTTAATGTTACTATGATTAAGTCTAGATTGCTTATCCGATAGCCATTTTATTTTTGATTCTAATCTACTTTATTCTTTTTTAAAAAGATAAAACAAAGATTTCTCCTGTGTATCTAAAAACTCATCACACATCTTAACAGGTAAATAATATAGTAAACTATTAGCAAGATAGAAAACCTGCATTCTATAAAAGTAATTTTTTCTATGTGCGTCATTAAGTTCAACCTGAAGTGTTTTTTGTATAAAGGATTCTTTACAACGTAAGAATTTAATAATAGATCTGTGGTGATAAAATTCAACATTAAAATTTGTCAATCTATTTAGGTGTTGAGGAATGATCTTAAACGCGATACAATCCTTGATGAATCTAATTTGTAAGTTATTTTTTATGATTAATTTTCTATATTTAATCCACGATTTGAGTAATTTAACTACATGATGACCACAATTGTATCGTATAAATTTAAAATAAGATACTTGCTCCTGACGCATGTTTACAGCCAGCGTAAAATTCAAACAAATATCAAATAATAAAGGACTCTTAATTATTCAAACGACAATACAGAAGAAATAAGGCATATAAGAGTCAACATAATTACATCTAAAATATAAAAACTATAATATGTAAAATATAAAATGTATAAAATCTATTAATAACGTATCATGAAACAAATTACATTACATTACATTACATGTTTCGGCTCTTGAATTGAGAGCCATTCTTAGATAAAAAATAAAATTACAACCTTTAAATTCATATTTATCGTCATACACAAATCGTGATTCCATGAAAGTCTTTTATGATAGTTATTTTTAATAAACTTTTATGACAATATTTTTAAAATTATGGTAACGATGGTCATAATTATTAGCAGTTCAGCTTATGATTTGGCTCTTTCGCGAGACAAAGTACGTCTCAAACGCTCGGAGTATCGTACGTCCATAAGCTCAAAGGATACAAGGATTGCTATTCGAGAGGAGAAAACAACTCAAAATTTTTTTGAAGTATAGGAAGGTGTCTTGTATATAGTCCTGGAATAGATGACTAATAATAAGTTCAAAAATTTTGGCATATTATAGCAAAAAAGTTTCATAAAACCGTAAACGCTTTTTTCTCTAAACCATGTTTTCGAATATGATGATCACAATTCCAAAAAAATATTAGTTCGACTGACTTCTACTTTACTGTTATACTCAGAGAACATGTCATTATCGTTTAAACTATAATAAATGGTCTATGTTAACTTTTTCTATTTTAGAAGATCAAATAAAAGGAAAAAATGAGCAAAATAAGATTTATTTTTTCAAACTGTCGCCATTTTGAAAATATGCATACGATATTAATTATCCTAGTTCAGGCGAGAATTACAAATCTACTAATTAAGAAAAAGCTTAATTTTTTACTTTTAGACCAACGATACTACTTGTACCTTGGTCATCGTTTGACTATGTTCGCAGTGTAGGCCTAACTTTAGCGCCATTTTATTACTATTCTATAAAAAGTTAATATTACAAATATTTTTTTACATGTACATTGTAAACACGTACTTTCTAGACCCGTATTAGTCTTTAAGTATACCTAAATTTTTATTTATTACAAAAATTCTCAAAGAATGTCTTTAAAATCAGCCCTTAAGCATAAACACCCCCTCAATTTTTCTGAATTCTATATACCTACAATTACAAAAATTTTAGGACTAGACGCAGAGTGGGTCGACTTTTTGTATAAAAGTTAGAGCTATTCAAAGTATAACAAAAAGACCATTAAAAATTATCCCTTTTATTTTCATTTTTGCACTAAAAATTCATTATGTAAAAATGAAAATAAGAGGTACAACCTTCAATGGCTTTGATTTTGACAAATGTTATACGGGATATAATCCTGAACAACAAGAGGTTTTAGGTTGGTTACCGTAATGTTAATATCGGCGGTACTGCAACTTTCAAGTCTTATATAACTCAAAAACTACTCAATGAAAAATAACTTTATTACAGCATTTTGGAAAGCTCTCGACATCGGCTATTAAATTCTGGAATCAAGAGTAGGGTGTTCCATTAAAAAAAAATCGATGTGACCTTGACCTGACCTTGGTGACGCCACCCAAGGTCAAACTGATAACATTAGTAAATAGATCTTTTTGAACTCTACAACTTTTGCCTGAAACACTTTTCTGTAAAACTTATATTTTCCGAGATATCCCGATATTTTAGGGACATCCTGTATATATACAGAATGTTTAGAATTTTTTAATGCCAAGAACCATGCATACATGCTCTCCGTTCTTATTTCAGAAACTATTGATCCTATTTTTATAAAACTTGGTGTACAAATGTCTTTGATGGTTCTTTTTTCGATTTTGAAGTCAAAACTTCAAAATTTGAGATGGCCAATCCATTATGGCCATCGTCTAAATAGTCAAAAAATTCAAATATTGTTCAAAATCTATGAAATTCATATTTTAAAGGTTTTGATGGTGTTCTTTAGAAATGCATGATTTTCAAAGATATCGTGTTTGTCTTCTGCTATACCATGGCAGTACAAATTGGGCGCTAAATATATAGTAGATATTTTTTGTTGCATACTATGTCAATAAGAGATGTAAATATATTGTAAATATTCTTTATTCCAAACTGTCAGCAACAAAAGTTTGCGTGGTATTGATGAGCTGCGAAGACCATCATTAAGAACCACTGTAATATGAATTTCATGGTTTTCTAGCAACATTTGAATTTTTTTACCACTTCAACGTCGGGCATATTAGATCCGCCATCTTAGATTACAGAATTTTGAGATGCTAAAGTCAGATTCGGATTCAGCGACCCAAAATTACCTTTAAATACTAGCTTTCCAATAATTTACTTTTTCAGCAATCCCCCCCTCCCCCGTCCTCAAAAAGTTAAATGTAAAAACATCAAGAGCATGTAGGTTATCGATAAACTAAAGAAAAAAATATATCTGTGAAGTTAGCACCGCCATTTTGAAAAACAAAGAATATTGTGCTAGATTGTGCTAAGCATGTGCTACATTGTGCCGCAAACCGTACTTCGATATCTCAAAAAATGAAGCGAAAATTGAAAAAAACCGCTTTAAGGTCCAACACCGGCATTTTAAAATACAAAAAAAATCAAAATTATGCTAGGTTGTGCTAGGCTTGTGCTAACTTGTGCCGCAAACCGTAGTTCGATTACGCAATTTTTCGTTAGAAAATCGCAAATTAAGAACTGGACTCGAATTGTAAACGATGGATGTTCCAAGCGGACACTGTGCTGCAACTTCTAGGGGGTTAGGCTCCAAGCGGGTAGGATATATTTTTTTTTGTTCGAGACGGCGTAGCCTACCCGCTTGGGGCCTAACCCCCTAGAAGTTGCAGCATAGACATTGTTCGTTTGGAACATCCATTGTTTACAATTCGAGTCTTGCAGCAATGCAAACATTGCGTCTAGTATGAACAGCTCATGTTGCAGCCAAATACTGATATGATGACATTTGGTATATTGCAACCTCGATTCGATTTCATAAATGTTCTCTAGAGTTGATTGACGACGAATAAACTTCCTGTTTCAAGATTCCTCATACAAAGAAGTTTTGTAGTGTCAAATCAGATGATCGGAGTGGTCAAGGTACTACTTCTCCACGTCCATTGTGGATAATGTCTGTTTAGCCAAGCTCGAGTAGCTCTGCCGTAATCAGTTGGACACCCATCGAGTTAAAAGCATATTTCAATCCGTTGCTGCAAGTGGATGTCTTCTAAATAGGCTGCGTTCGGAAACGTCGCTCGGATACCTCCGATGTCTCGGATTCGTCATCTGTCCTTCTTTAATATTAAATGTTAAACGAGGACAGATGATGAATCCGAGGCATTGGAGGCATCCGAGCGACGTTTCCGAACGCAGCCATAATCAAAGAAGTGAGTCTCCAAAAAATTTGTAAATCTAGTTATATTCAATCCGTCAGGTAAAAAAAAATAGTCCCATTAGTCATTCCAAATTCCGAGCCAAATTTTAACAGCAAATTCATGCTGGAACCTACTTTCTCTAACAGCCCTGGGATTTTTATGAGCCCATACATGATAATTTCTCTAATTAATAACACTGCCCAACGTTTTAAGACTTCTTTTCTGCTGTTAAAATAAAAGATACCATTTCCGATGTATTTTCGCGCGCTGAACACGAATCCGGCAATGAAATTGCTCTATCACTTCACGTTTTTGAGAAAAGTAAAGTTAAAAGCGCAAAAATTGTTTTTTGATATATTTGTGATTTTTTTGCTAGCGAAGTAAATTTTTTTTCTACTTTTGTTTACGGCATCTTAAAGTGCCAACTTTAATCTTTAAAATATATATTTTTTTAACACCAGTAGGTATACTGGTCGATTCTAACCCAGGGGCAACGAGGGGAGTGAGGGACAGAGGGGTACTTGCGGCGAGGGGGTGACGTCACAGGGGGAGGGGAGGGGATGACGTCATAAATGGTGACGTCACAGGGTGAGGGGCTGACGTCACACGGGAGGGAGGGGTGACGTCACAGGGCGAGGGGGTGACGTCACAGGGGGAGGGGAGGGGATGACGTCATAAATGGTGACGTCACAGGGTGAGGGGGTGACGTCATAGGGGAGGGAGGGGTGACGTCACAGGGCGAGGGGGTGACGTCATAAATAGTGACGTCATAGGGGATGGTGTTACATGGTGAGGGAGTGACATCACAGGGGAGGGAAGGGGCGACGTCACAGGGTGAGGGGATAGTGTCACAGGGGTGTACGGGATGACGTCGCAGTGGGTGACGTTGCGGTACAGGAAGATGTCCCGGGTGCAGGAAATTGCGTAGCGGAAATTACGTAGCGCGGAATGTTGCGTGCGCGTCGCGATGATACGGGG